GTACTTGTACGTTTTTTCTTTGCGAGAGATTATTTGTTTAAATTAAAAAATCCCGTAATGTTGGAGATCGTTTGTCAAAATCGCATATGCTGATCGTTGCATGAGAGTCGCGCGCGCAGTAACGTGTAGGATAATTACGCGCGATTCGCCTAATCATTATTGCATTAACACGCCTAGGGTATATCTAAAACTAATGTGTTTTTCGCGCTCTCTCGCTTGCTCAATTTTACTTGCAAAAATATCTTGGTTATTTTTTGCCGTACGGGGACCCTCCCTCTCTGCTGCTCATGGACGAAAGTTCGCATAACGTCATCATCGTCGCGCGATTCAACAATCGCACAACGCGTATATAACGTTTGTACACAGGATTGACGTATACGGCCCCATTGATCGTGCATACAATTCGAGTCATTGTATTGTCACCAAAGTGCAATGGCTCGAGTGTTGCGTATACATAAAGTTACCCAGGAACGATCATGAGTGTCATTTTTGCATACTGAAAAAAAAAAGAGAAGGAAAAAAAAACACAACAACACTGCACTCACGGGCTCTTTCCTCACTCGCGCGTGGCTAAACAAAAGACCTTACACTCGGAGGAATTTTCGACATACCATCATAAGAACGCCTGTATATGTATATTCTCTTCGGCTTGGCAATTTCCGCATTACAATCGGAACCCATTAATCTACGCGCTTATAATATACGTGCTTATATTATATACATAGAGACAAGGCGCGCGCGCACGGCACAAAAAGTTGCCTCGAAGAGGCAGCGCAGCTTTTTGCTCTGGAGATTGAGCGAAGAGGCAAACGCACGACCAAGGCGCACGATGCGCATGTATGCGCGAATCATTGAGAAGAATTTTTCCTCACGGAAGCATCAGCAGCGGCAGCGAAGGTGTTCACTGCCAATTTAGCACTTTGTCCGCACTTTGGCCGCGCACGCATCCCACGACAAGCTGCAGCAGCTGCCTCGTAATGCAAGATATGATGGATTCTCGCTCTCTAATATCAAATCCGCGCGGAGGTTGCGTAAGCGCTCTTGCAAAAACGCCCGATAATGATGATGATAATCGCGCGCCCGTGTGTATGGGATGCTTCAAAGTCATCAAGTTTCGCGAAGAAGGGCTTTTCTGGTTGCGCGAGCCTCGTCTGTTTTGATACAACGCACGTTTGTGCGCGCGCGCGCGAGGGATGTCTAGGCCACTCGCGATCTATTTGGAAAGTTCATACGTATAATAATTATAATGATAATGCAAGTACGTATATGCTTGTCAAGAGTGTTAATTACGGGTTTACGTGCGCATATCGCGGGGATATATTGTAATACACGTGTACGTGGTTGGAGGTAAATGCCTTAATAGATTGAAAAATACCCGTGTACTACTCGGGCCATTATTATAAATATATATTTAAACGCGCGCACACGCGCTATGCGGCCTGTGAGTACGTCTAGCCACATACAAGTACTTTCACTGTGTATAAAGTCGTAGCAGTAGAGTATCCGCGCCACAAGCTCGAGCCGAAGCAGCAGCAGCCCCTCGTGCAGCGCGCTAATGTATGCACGCTTGCAGTCTATATGAAAACGCCAAGAAGCACGTGAATACGCGCAATTTAGCTTCGGATTTTTCAGCTTCTTTCCCGCTCAACGCGCATATATATCTTGCGCGCATACAGCAGCTCTAGATTAGAGGATTAAAATTAGTCCGGCGCAGGCAGGCAGCTCGTGAATACGTACGCGCGCGGACATGCCCCCGAGCTAGCTACACCATTTGATCATTCATATCGACATTTTTTATTTTCTCCCTGCATACGATCGCGAACAAAAAACAAAGGATTTTCTTGACGCGCCTGAGCCTATTTTCACTTTCCCTTCATATTCATCTTGACAAATATAATTGGGTAGGATAGCGATATAAGAAAAAATACGCGCTACTTGAAATTATAAATTGCCTCGCTCGATCGCGCAGAGCTTGGCTCTCTCGCAGCGACCGCAGATAAGGTTCAATTAGAGACAGATAGATTTATACATCATACAGATGTCACTCAATTGGCAAATGTTAAAAATTGGCACATCGACACAAGAGCAAAATAGATCGATTCGTGTCAAAAGTTCCATTGTTTACAACATATCTACGCGTCTATACCAAACGGATGAAACTACATACATGGCACATACACATGTTACGCCGTCGATCAGTCGCAAAAATGAGGCAGGCGCCACGATAGCGCAGCGTCGTGCATTGCCGAGCGATAACCAACTCGCGGCCTGCAATCTCTATCTTCAATTGCATTACTGCAGCGCGCGTAGAGCAAGTTTGCAAGCGTAGCGTATTTCGTTATTATACTTGCATCTGCTCAGCGATCATATATAATACATGCATTCGTAGTCGTCGAGATGAGAGCGAGAAAGACGAAGAGATCATCGATTGATTATATAAACATATTGAGATCGAAGAGGTCACGAACTCGTCCTTAGGCAAATTGACACACGCGCGGCCCGCAGCTCGCGCAACGATCATACTTGTGCGTTTCTTTAACAACGTTGATGTTTGCCGCATTCGCAGGAATCCATTCGAAATTGCGTACGCAAATCGATGCCAAATGGCTGTATCTCGAATATAATGTACGAGCTGCGAGCATACGAATCTCGAAGCAAAGGTTTTTTTTAACGCGTAATGAAAAAATAGCCAAATGACGAATGGCTACTGTGCGTAACAGTAGTAAAAGTCCGAGGAAATAGAAGCTTTTTACCATACAATAGGCATAGGTGGCGCGTACGTATATACACGCGTGCGTGTGTAATATGTATGACACCCATGTAAAACACAAGAGATATTATTTCCAAATCCCAGAAAACAAGGCGCGACAGATAAATTATATATCTAGTCTTTCATTCGTGCTCACACGTACGATCGCTAATAAATGCCTAGCGCTTTAATGTTATTCAAACTCCAAACTCTTTTTTTGCCCCGCGTATATCTTACATTGTGCAAAAACGGAAGCTTCATACATCAATTCTAACATTTGAGCTGGTAAATATATATACTTTTGCAGTGTAGAAATAATATATCATATTAGAGAGTTGTCTTGAGTGTATGTGTGTTTGTGTTTATAGGCCCATTCGCGTCTATATAGATATAGGTATAATAGTACAAAAATCTATGAACTGTTAGTTGCCCTAAAAAGGCAGTAGTTGCGCGATCAAATCGCCTTTTAGTTGCGTTGCAATTGCCCCTCTTTCGCGAAAAAGATCGATTACTCTTCCACCTTTTACTTCTTCTTCTTCTTCTTCCATTTCCTTCTCCTCTGTATTTGTTTCTTCCTTCGACTTGTTCGTTTTTTGTACGACGATGCCCTGCAGGCCTCGTTTAATGCGCGAACCGAATCAATTCGTGGTGGCGATCGGTCTACATTTGGCGTAATGTATACACAAATAAATGGCCCCTAAAACATCGATGTGTGCCTACAATGAACTATTGGTCCAGCATCATACGTTATACATACAATGCATAATATGCACAAGCGCATAAAAGATGAAGATGCCTGATATTTTCCATATGCATACGGAGTATCGCATATTATATGTGTGCAAGTTGATTGATGCAGCGAAAGCACATACGCACATGTAACGCATGTATATTTGAATGGACGTCTAATTGACCCAGTTCTTACGCATATTTGCTGTCGCGTGATATCAGCTCCGAGCATCGGATCATTCTTTCGCGCATACATATAACCTTTATTAATCTCGCGTGCATTTTGCATACGCTGCGTTACATTATATATGCTCGTGTACAAATTAGATATTTGAAAACGTGCCCCCGAGTGAATGTGCACGACAACCAAAGATCAAGTGCAGCCACTGAATTTCGAGTGTTTCATTTTAACTCGACGTTTGAAACTGGACAAGGAAACTTTTTTTTTTAAGTGTGACTTTGTGATTCGTCAGATCCGGGATACGAGATCTCGGTCGCGTATGTATGTTTATAAATATGCTCTTTTTCTTAGATTTATTTCGATTCGCCGCAAATCAATAAATTCGGCTCTATCCGCAAGTTAGTATATTTAATGTGTTTAAAAAATACCACTATATCTTTCTCTGTAAAAACATAATACGTGATGTAAACAAACATAAATAAACTCTAAGCAATCTCTGAACGATTAATCAAATGACGATCCGTTTGGCGAGCAGAAAATCCCATCGCAAAGCTTTAAAGTATTTACTAGGGAAAATTTTCAAAAAAATACTTTGATTACTATATTATATGCGAGAAACCACAGCGTATCATAATTTTTCATTTCTAACTCGGTCCTCGGAGCTTGCGTAATATCTTTTACCAAGAAAACCCGAGATTTGTAATAATATGTGAAGTCGTGTATATCGTGTGCTACGCCGATGAAAGAAATTGCTTGTATGCATGATGCATGCCTGCCTATACCCCCATGTAATTAAATTTTATGAAACTCGTCGAGCAGACGATCGAGGGATAATATATTGCTTCAGATAGAAAAACTGAGCTTGATTCATCGGAATTCTGTGCTGTTTTGATGAAAAAAGTCGACAACGCAACTTTCATCGAATTGAATTGGCATAGCTTGGTATTTCTCGAACTCGGCAGCAGCAGCAGCAGCAGCTTCCGCACGATTATCTATGTACTTGCCGCGCGCGTGCGGCACACGCACATAAAGTAGTCAATTAACGCGACCTTTACGCAGGCAAAACAGATAATTGATTCGTCAAGGTCAGAATACGTAATACGTCTGTAGGTTAATTAATGTTCGCGTCGCGAAAGTACCGCTAACCGACATGTAAGCTCGTACATATTATGGATAACAACATGGTACGCTTTGATAATACACGCATTATATGTAAGCGTGTCTAAGCGAGCGTTCGAAACGGCTTCGCATTTTCCCCCGATCATTAAACGCCAACGATTACGCCTGCAATCGAGCTCATCACATTTTACTTATGAAGCTATTGAATTTTTAACGTTACAGATTATCAATTTCCTATCGATGTAAACGGCGTGGCAAAGGACCATCCTTTCCTCGACGCGGACTCGCTGCAGAGTCTGTTCCGCAGGCTACACGCGCTCAATCGTTGCGCTACCATGAAATTGGATACCCATCACCATCACCATCATCATCTCAATACTCATCACAACGCAAGCCACGGCAAAAGCGTGAGTACAATATACTTTTTTCACTTATTTTACAAAGTCTAAGGTCCAACGTTATTTAGCAGAGATGAGAAATATCTTCTGGAAAACAATTATGTTCGCGTATTTTACAGTTTAATCGGAAAATTCTTGCCAACGCTCGTGTTCCATGATAGATTTATTAATGTTTTAGTTTAAAAACTGAGAAATAAAGATAAATAAGGTTGATTTAATTTTGTTGACTGAAAATTATAATTATGCGAGCACGAAAAAAGTTCAACTACTTCCTGCGGACATAGCTTCCGATGTTCGTGGCTAGAAAAACGTATATCACTCTTGTGCGTGGGAATAAACTATTACCCATGAAACTGTTTTGAATTCCAAGAGTCAATGCGCGAGCTTGCATGAAACGCGATTTCATGTTTGCATAAAAAGTGATATTGAATAACGCCTGTACAGCGCAAAAACTATACAAATCAATGAGCATTGAGTCGACGTTATTACGGATTCTCGAAGATCAGCACTTCCGGTGAATACTGTTACGTGTAAGCTCGCAATATATTGGCTTTTTAATCAACTCGAGTTTTATGCTGTCAAGTTGTAAGCGTGTCAACGTTGAAAGTGTGAAAAACATCATCTTGTTTACATAATGCGTTGGTAGGGACAACGTAAGTGTACTGTCTGCTTATTGATTATTCAGATACGTATATGTGTCAAGATTCACGACAGCTATTGTAGAAGCAAAAATTCGCTTTTGGAAGCACTTTGATACACAAGTTTCAGTTTTGAGGGTGAGAATAAAGATTCGGTTTTTATCAAGGCGGTTCGATCTTCGCAGTTAAAAAGAAAAAGAATCGCGAAAAGTAGACATACTCATAATTCGTGCGTTATTATGTGTTCGTGTCTGTTGAACATGTGTCCAATTAATAAAAGTCGACTTGTCTATGCGCGCTCATAACGACAACGACTTTTTACGTATGTATATATTTACGCACTCGCGCGAGGTGTTGCAAATCTTTCCACGCTTTAACAGCTTCGATAGTGTCAAAATACTCATTTCTTCACCTTCTTTTTTTGTCGTCTGTACCGATGAAAGTTTCCATCGCTGAATGCGTGCAGCATAGGCATTACTATTTGCTAAGGCCGCAAAACAGAGCAACCTCCTGCGGCGCAGCGCGAGCTTCGACTATCTTTATTAATTTTCAATGTACTATAGTAGAGAATATTAATAAAGGTGTGGTTGATCCACAACCGTATTACACTGCAATAGATCGATTTTCTATAGGGTAGCTTGTTAATAGACGATTTCTCTTCACTCTCTCTTTCTCTCTCTCTGCACGGGCGCGCAGAGGCTGGATCACCTGCAGCTATATTCAAACGCAAGCGAGTACGACGAATCTATCCTTATCTATAGTAATGTGAATAATTTAGCCTTTGCGATATCGATCAATAACTCGTATATTGTTTTAATCTACTGGATCAAAGTGTCTTGATTGGCTTCTGTTTTACTGTTGTGAATACATGCGTTACAGTCCTTGAAGGAGTATGAAAATGCGTAACTTTTTGAATTTTTCTCGACCGCATGCACAAAATTACCAGAATTTTTAATATATTGAAGTACATATATTTTTTCGATATAGTTGTAAATCGACTAAAGTGAAAGTCGCGAAAATATATGTGTACGCGTGTGTGGTAAATTTACTTTGAAGCACGAATATGCATTAACTCAGGTCGCAACAAAAAAATACATTCAACGTCATCATATACTTGTGCCATGTAATACTCTCACTGTCACAAGTGTGAAGTGAATTACGAAAAAAACGACCTCACCCACGTACACTCTTAAAGTCAAGCTGAAGAATTAAGTTTTACAAAAAAAAAGTGCCGAGCAAGCGTAACTTCAACTTCAATATTGTCTTTCTTTTGTGGAGAAAAAAAGGTTCGCCTCGGCTTCGAGGCGAAAATTCGCGAGACGCTCGTTTAGACGGCTGCACGAAGACACATATCACTTTCACTCGAGCGTGCAAGCTTGAAATTCAAATTCGCACTCATATTCGCTTCATAGGGCTTTATTTGCGCGCGGCAGCTCCGACAGCTGTACGGAAAAGATATTTTTAACAGTTGCGCGCGCGCTCGTGCAGTCACGAGAATAGATCCCAATCCTCCTCTTTTCTCTCGCTCCTTGTTTTCGTAGGAGCCCAAGACGTATCCTTTCACATGCCTCTCGCCTGGATTCGAGCTCTTTTTCCCGCAAAGCGGAAGCTTCGCTTGACTGCTAGATGTATAATTGCCACCTCCCCGCGTGCTAGTCTGCTGCGCGCGCGCTGGCTCCGTTTCTGTCGTCTTTAGCCAATTAACTGTTTTTTCAACGAGTCCTGGGAAATCGTGAATTTCACGGTCGCAACTTCGTCAATTATTTCCCGACTGCTTACACGTTATGTATCTCGAGCTTATACAGCTTGAGAAGTGCTTTTTCCATCCTGCAGTCGACGATTTATGACGCGTAGATTACGATCGTAAGTGTCTCTTTTACATCAACTGCACACGATCGTCTAGGCTAATTTTATTTTGCTTTTCCCCCCTTTTTTTGTTTTCGATTCATCGTCTGCATCTACGCGGCTATTAGGGGTATGATTATAATGATATGTAACCTTTTTTTTAACGAAGTCCAATTTTTATCAAAAGGTGTTGGTTTTATCAGAACAAGTTTATTCACACTTTAACAGAATCCATAAAATTGCGATCGGAGAAAGTTTGTTTTTGCGCGTTGTACGTACCCAGTGCTCGACATTGGCATTGGATTCGACACTGAGATAATTGTCAAATATTTTGCCATTTTTCAACGACTTATCGCTGGTATAAATCTTTCACCAGTTTCACCTGCTCCACGTGAAATTCCAGCTATTATGTGCTGGAACATCGTGTGGCTCTCTTATTTTTGCAGAAAAGAATCATTAATCATTAATCCCCTTGTAACTCGTGTACTTGTTTGATTGACATCATATTACTCGCTTATACTTCAAGCTTCTGTTAAGAATATTGATTTTTAAAGTGTGTTCTGTTCATATTTTTTCCAACTTTGATCAAAACTATGGATAGTTTCGGCGATATCACTTTTTGTTCTTCGTTGAAACGAAGCTTAAGGGCTATTTATAAAATTATTGGCAAAAGTTTTTCCTGCTTATGTAAGAATCGGGCTTCGTTCCTTGTAGCGAAGGATAGGGTAAAGAAGTACCGACTGATTGCACGAAGAGATCGTCAAGACGTTCAAGCTTTGCCAGTTTTTGCTATCTAAGTTACGACGCAGATGATCAGATGCAAGTGACTTTTTCCTACAATGAATAGCCTGTAACGTATCGTAAAATGAAAAATAATCTTTTAATCAAAAAGAAACGACATTTTTTATGTCCGACTGATTGTAAACTCTCGAGTCAAACAGCACCTTTACGCGAAACTGGTTAAATAAAATTTTGCAATGACTTTGAACTTCCTACACGAGGATGACCATTTTTGGTCGGATTTCTTGGATGCCTGGTAATTAACGTAAAACATACGAGTGTCAGGCAGGCAGCTTTCACATCATCTCGATAGTCCGCGTGGGGTTATCGAACGCATGTCTCTACGCTCACGACCTCGCTTCGCGACCGGTGCGTAATAACATCGGAAGCGTCTCGTGCGCTGCATTTTCGTTATTTCATTTCCGTGTTGAGGTCGATGCTCCAGATTTTGTTTGAGAAAACTTTCCTAAATACAACAAATATCCGATATCGAAAAACGTGAATAAAAGCTTCGTTTCGAGCGTCCAAATTTGATCAGCCGCAACGAACTGTGCTTGAATGTAATCAACGCATATACTCAGCACGTAGTCAAAATTTAAGAGAGGAAGAGATAGAGAGAGACAGACAGACAGACTGACAGACAGACAGACAAACTGAAAAAAATGAATATATCGCCATCGAATGTGCAAGAAAAAGCAGGTAAGAAATGCACATACGCAACCGTAAAGTTGCATTCGAAAAAAAGACTGCAGTACTGGGGCAGAGAAAATAAAAAATTAATTGGAAGCCTGTGGCTTGAAAATAAAATCTCGCGTCCAAAATATTATTATTCTATGTAACAATTATGCTCGGCGTGTATGCAACGTATAAGGTACGAACGTATACCAAACGCTGATTTTGCGGTATAGGATTATTTCTCAAGTCGATGATTATAAATTTACAGTTCAATAGAGCTGCAAAAATAAATTGACAAAAATACTCGAGCCACCGTCATTTGCCATAATTGACATATCAAGCTCTAAGACTTACATAACAAAGACACGCATGAGTGGCTTATATTTAAAGCAAATTTCGAGGTTTTTGACTTTCCCAGTAAACAAAAACAATTCGCCGCGTTCGTTATTGACAATTTTCGTCGTTGCTAAAACGCGGTAAACAGAACTGAGAACGCACGCGCGTACACAAGTCACGGCATGCTAACAAACGAGAGTGTCAAAATCGCGTTGTAAAAAAAGGAAAAAATTCTCGAACGAACGGTAACAAGAACAAAAAAAAAACTGTCGATTAATTCTTCCCGTTACATACACGGCATTGTATGAAAGAATACGACGTGCGGCATGTATGTGTAGCGCACCAATCTGCGCGGCAGTCGATGAACCCGACTCGCAAACAGGACGTACAAACAGCGGCAGCGACAGCTACGAATGCGCTATATACACTGACGCAACAACTGGCCGGTTGCCTTGCAAACTCATGCGAGGGCACACACATATTATACACACACATATACGAGAGCACACCTGCACGCGTGCCAACGATGCTTTTTTGCCAGCGGACTACTTTAGATTCGGCAGCTTTTTATTTCCGAGTCGCGAGCGGCTGCTATAGTTACACACACGCCGAGCTGCCTGCGAGACTTTTACTGGGTCAGTTGTTGAACTGCCCCGAGAAGGGATAATGGGCTTAGTGGGTTGCGTTACTTGTTATAGAGGAACAATGGAGCGCGTACAGAAAATGTTTGGCGAT